TGCATTGAGGGACGCAGCAATGGGTTGGCATGTCAAACGCTATCACCACTGCCGAACGCAGCAGAATGGTTCAGGTTGAACCCTCTCGATGCTTGACGACGCAGTAATGGCGGATTTTATCAAGTTCGCGCAACCGGAGCTAGAGGCGCTGACGTTCGTAAAGGGTCTATTGCACACGCTGCCCACACAAGCGACATCCGCTTGGCTGCCAAAAGATCCTAGTATGACGTCACGACTGGTCGGCAGTTTTTCGTGTTTTCTCGCGTTTAGTTACATCTTAGGAAACCAACGAACCTGATATTCAGATTCAAGAGATAAAAATACGCCAAACTTCACATGTCACTCCTTCTTTTTTTCTTAGCAAGTGTTTCAGCTTCCGTTTAATACCAGACTGAAGACAGATTCACACTGCCCCATTTATGTTACGGGAAGTTACGTTACGACCGAAATATTCCTGCCTCAAATGTCGCGTGTCATGCTTTCTTATTGAAATGGTAGCCTCACTTAATATGAAGCACAAAAGTCCCGGTGACTTCAACGTAATATTTCGTAACACAATTTAACATAAGAAAATGGTGCAGTGTGGGCGGTCCTCAAGGGTCAAGCTCTAAACGACTTCGATTTAATTCACCTTTTATTCCTCGCAGGCATATTGGAAATGCAGCAGGAAGCTCGAATGCAAGGCAAGAGCACGTACCATTGATGGGGAAGTCGTGCAACTCATCAAGGAACATACTCATGCCACCTGCCAAATGGAACAAGAAGCCAAGTTGGCTTCCTCCTCGATGAAGGAGAGAGCCAAAACAACGGAAGAATGCAACCAAGCCGTTCTCCGACGCCTCATCACCGAGATGACGCCGGAAGCGTGTAGCTACCTGTCACCTCAAGATACCATCAAGAGAACATTGAGGTAAGCATTTAGGCTACTATAATTGCTACCGAGTTTGCAAATATAGACCTTAATAATATATTTTGGGAGGAGAGTTTAGAAGAGGTATGGAAATTGGCAGTGGGAAAATACGTACTATACTTTTGTTATTTTTACAGTTCAGAAAGGTGTTTAAGCGCGTACCTCTGATGGGCTAGTCGGTTAAACATCTAGACTGTCAAATAGAAAAAAAAGTGCAAACGACTAGGAAAATAAGAGGGGAACAGGAAAGGCGCTTAAATGCATGGCGCTCCGCATAAAAATAGATTAAGTAACAAGGCGCGCGCTACAGTTCACGACTATGAGCAGTCTAGTCCCCCACTTACTTCCCTAGTCGTTTTCTATTTTTATTTCACAGTCTAGAGGTGTTTAGGGCGTAGCCCCTCGTAGTGTTTAAAATCGTACATTGCACACATTTTTTATGCACGTGTGTCACTGTTTTGAACTGTGATGCCAACGATATCCGAACTCTTTTACGTGCCGGAGAGTTCGTGCAAAGGAGCAAAGGCCCATAGCCCTACCCTTGAGGTTAGAAGACGTTGCCACTCCAGCTAACTACGCGTCGAAGAAAGACGGCTCGAGGTTTCTTGTATTCAACTCCGGTGTGCAAGATCAGGACCGCTTCCTTATTTTCTGAAGTCCGCAGATGATTGCAGTTCTTCAAACATCCAAGAAATGGTTTGCCGACGGTACATTCAAGGTTGCACCAGAACTGTTCTTTCAAGTCTACATCCTACATTGTGAAGTTGGCGGATCTGTTCTGCGCGCGGCTTATATGCTGCTAACCCGTAAAAACTGTCCTACGTACACCCGAGCTCTGAGCGCACTTATTGGCGAGTGTGGAGGGGTCTGCGAGCCAAGCACCATAGTAGTGGTCTACGAACTTGCAGCCATTAACGCTTTCAAGACGGTCTTGCAAACATCCGACGTGCGTGGGTGCTTCTTGCATCTATCGCAGTGCATTTATCGCAAGGTTGAATCTGAAGGACTGCAAGAACTATGTTCCTGTTACCCTCAAATCAACTTGGAGGCCCGCATGATACCTGCTCTTTCCATGGTACCCCGAATTGATGTGGAGGATATATTCACCGAACTGGCGTCCAGCGTACACTCAGATCTGCAACCAGTAATGGATTACTTTGAAGATATCTTCATAGGACGGCCAACGGCTGGGGGAAGGCGAGTCGCATAGTTTCCTGTGGAACTCTGGAATCACCATGACACCGTGCTCCAGTGCGACTCCAAGACCACCAACTCGGTGGAAGTATGGCACAGGGGCTTCCAGGCTCATGTGCAGTGCTCTCACCCGTCCCTTTGGAGGTTTCTGGAGGTTCTACAAAGAGAGGACTGCATGCAGCTTCACCGGCTCACGCAACTTGAGATGGGGCAGCGATTCAAACCGGCAACAAAATATGTGAAGGTTGCCCAGCGCCTGCAGACACTCGCTAGAGAGTATGACCGCAACCATGCTCTACGATTTCTCAGAGGCGTTGCTCGTAACGTATCCTTCTAAATTTTTGATTGCACGTGTTTTGTGAATAAGCGATGTTTCAAGTTCAAATGTTGGGTCTGGCCTCAGATGTTATGCTTGCTTCCTACACCGAAAGGTAAGTGCACCGAAAAGACCGTGTACCAAAAAGTCCGTGCACCGAAAAGTCCGTGCACCGAAAAGTCCGTCACCGAAAAGTCCGTCACCGAAATGTCCGTGCACCGAAACGTTCGTGCACCGAAATGTCCGCACCGAAAATTCCTACACCGAAACATCCTGCACCGAAACGTCCGGATCCCCCGTGTTTGGCGCGCACACCAGGCTTTGATTATTTGAACAGGTCTATGAGTTTATTGGGCGCAGAAAACACAACCTTTCCATTTGATCACATTGCTACTTCCTTTACATTGTGCAACACTCGGTGTATATACAGTATCACAACAACTTTTCGTTTTTGCCTTGCCAGCTAGCTCCCATTGTTTTTCACGAGACAGCGCTTTCTCAGAAGGCCATCTGCGACTGCAATAGTGACGTGTCTGAACCCGTTTCCGCAGAAGGTGATGACCTTTGGCGCAAACGGCTTCAGACACGTCACTACTATAACTTATATTCTGCCTGTATACTTAGATCATAGAAGGGCCTTCGGGGGCAACATACTATTAACATACTTTTAATATAATTCCGCCGCTCCGTTTGCTTAACAGCACACTAGAAACATACCAAGTATGCTTTTATTATGCTGTTTTTCGCTAAGGGGTACGTGCCACGCACGTCACTCGACCGGAGTGCCGACGATGGGGAACGAGCTGAATCGACTCCCATCTCGCTAGTCCGAATTGCGTTTGGTTGCCATTTTGCTATTACTAAGCATATTTTCGGGATCCGGTCTGGATTTGCGTTGCTGCAGCAATGCGCTTGATGAGTCCTCAAATCAGAAGTCAAGGAAACTCAATAAAGGTATGTCGAAGTATTTCTGTTCACTATGTGCATTCATTCTCTGCAGCTTGAGAAATCGTTTTCAGTGTGAGAGCGTTCTCGAACTGACATAGCGCACGCAATGCTCTATTCTTTTTGGCACCATGGGTGCTGGTTTTGTTATGTGGCACAGTTGATGTGAGAATAAATTGCATGCGGTTATCTCATATAAGTGAGCGAATTCCGATTCTAATCATAGTTTATTTTTATTTTTCAGATCCTGGCATGTGCCGTGCGACCATAAGAGAGACTCTTAGTCGACTATACATTCGACTTTCGCGTTGCTAGCAGAAGCTGGTGCCGTCATTTTTAAAACAGATTGAGCACGCGCCCGCTAATTTCCTCTTCCGCGGTGTATGGTGTACTAAAAATCTAATATTGTGCTGGTCCGCTGCCAACAGATCGCAACTATTATGGCAACCGTTGCAGCACTTACCCACTTTACTTGTTATTTTATTATGAACCTGTTATATTTTTACGTTTGTCCAGCGATTATGTATTTCTCACTTCCGGTGTGTCTAATAATTCATATCCCTGGCGAACAGGCAAGAAGCTGTCCGTGTTTCATGAAAAAGGTGCTTGGGTCACGACCGGTTTGAAGTTTGAACAGACGTCATTCTGTCTAAGTCTTTTTTGACGCAAGTGTTACTTTCGGAGTTCGGCCTTACTGTGGATTCTGCCACTTAGAAAATTTGATTTCAGTCAGTCTGAAATGTGATGTATATCTAAGGCAATACAGCTACATTTGATTTGAACTGCAACGTTTTGTTTAGATTACAGCACGCTGGTCAACCAGTATGTCCGCCCGAGGCACATCTCTCCAGTGAGGCGCGATTTGTGGGGTACAACTTTTAGTCCAAAATTACCAAAAGCAAGCATTCAAAATTTAGCTTCACGTGACCAAATGCAAAGTATTAACTTTTAGACCCAGGGGTTTAAGTTCAAGGGCGCGACATTTAGCGCCAGGGGTCTAAGTGCAAGGGTGCGACATTTAGTTCCAGGCGTATAAATGCAAGGGTGCGACGTTTAGCCCCAGGGCTCTAAATGTAAGGGCACAACATTTAGTCTCGGGAGTCTAAATTCAAGTGTGCAAAGGTTATATCTGGGGTTCTGACATGAAGGGACTAACGGGAGAGACGCAAAAGTTTCCCCTGTCCCTGTTAGTCCCCCCCCCCCCCCCCCGGGGGCTAAAGGTTGTTCCAAAACCTTTGCTCCAAGGAGGAAATAACTCCCGCTCTCCTTTTTCCTAGACTTTATCAGACGATGAGCTTTTTTTCCCGGACTGTAAGCCGACGACGTACAATGTTTTCTTATTTTATTTCCATCTGCGAATGGCACTCCGTAGCGAACGAAACGTGTTATTCGCTCGCGTGAGCGGACGAACAGACTACGAACGGTCACCTTAGCTAGCTCCGCGAGGAGCAAGTCGGATCTCGCTCTCGTGGTGATCAAAGTCGGATCCCAAGTGCGATATATGCGGTCGATGATACTACATTACCAATTTATTTCCAAATGGGTGCCTCGATAGCTAGATAAGGACTAGCCTTACAAAGGTTCTCCGCGAGATATCACAAACCGCAGCTGACGCGATTCTCTCCAGAGCACGTCAACAGCCGTGAGAGTTCACCGCTGTAGCCTGAGGGCATATCGATACTACAAAAGGCGCCTGGTCTTTCTAGGTGATCGCACTGGATACTCAGAGTCGCCATGAAGGTCCTCCTGGTTTTTTTCCTCGTTGGAACTGTCTCCGGTAAGCTAAGGGCACTAATTTTTTAAAGTGTCGACTCAGTTCACTGTAGTCACTGAGAGGTTAAGAAATGCATAAAATGGCGAGTTAGTAGCAGGTTATTATCGGTCTGCAGCGAATAATAGTGCAGCGTTGGTTGATAAGGACTCCGAAGAACCACTCATGAAGCGAGAACCCTGACAGACATTTGCCATGCCCTGCGTGTCTTAAGATGCCAGTGACCATAGTATAGTGAATTGCAGAAACTCTGCAAAAATGTTCCAAAAGCCGGGAATCATGATTAAGAACAAATACCTCCGACTTGCATAACAACACCAACATAAATTGTTGGTGTCGTTATGCAAGTCGGAGGTATTTTTTCTTAATGCAGAAACTCTGCTCCACCACCTCTCTTGCGTATTTTTTTTTCTTATTTTATTTTCTTGCAGCACAATGGAATGAAATATGCAAGCTTTCGCCAGACAAGGGAGTGTGCCGTGCACGAGTTTCTCGTTTCTACTTCAACCAGTCGTCGGGGCAATGCTTGCCTTTCATCTATGGCGGGTGCATGGGCAACCCCAACAACTTCTGGACAATCGAAGACTGTGAGGGGGCGTGCAAAAGTTAGTGTTATACTCAATTGTATTATCGTGTTTACATGGCCCATAATAAAAAATAAAAAAAACCATTAAAGTATAATTGTTATCGATATAGAAATCAAGCTCCAAACCTTAACAGGCACGTAGTTTTCCGCTTTTCTGCGTCATATTTTAGCTGCAAGGTTTTCGTGAAATGATTACATTGGCCAGAGCTAAAGTCCAAGTATATTGGGGGAACAAACGCTTCTTGACGAATATTGGGAAGACGAGGAGCATATAGGGCACAGACAAATAGCCGTAAATGAGGGATGAAACGGCTCCTCGGCATGGTTATATGCAGACGAAATAAAAACCTTAAATATTCGGAGAGTTTTGTTTTAAATATTTGTATAAGGTCCACGTGCTGCTCATTTGAGATCTCATAAAGTAACATTTAGCATATCCATTACTAGTTTCAGCAAAACAATTGGGAATTGTACAATGCGCCAAAACCTCTTCACGAACAGGGAAAAATGCTATCATGACATTGTTTATCAACCAATATTGTGCTAGAAGTTAAAAAAATATATATACTTGAGGGCTAGAACTTAGTAGTCGGATGATCACTAGAAGATATTCGCTTTAGGCTTGCCTCTAAAAGCTCTACTTGAACTTTTTTCTGGCAAAATGTATTCAAGTGCGCACCTCCTGAAGTACACTGCTGTATTATTTATAGAACGATCGTGCCAATAACTACTTGGATTTTAACCAGCCAAAAAGCATTAAAAATTGGTTCCTCGTATTTTGGGTTTGAATGTTTTTACAAGTACGCACCTCTACTAGACAGCTCGGAGTAAGGGCCACTGTACCTCTCCTGTAACATCATTAGTACTTCTCCCAGTAGAGAACGCCGGATTGGCAAGCGCAAGAAATGAAGCAAATTACGTCCAACAGAAACCGTTCCTAACGATGTGGAAAAAGTGCGAGACATACATTTTGTTATCTTGTCTACTTTTCATAGACGCGGTACAAGATGAATTCCCGGAGAACGAAGACGGGTCCTCGTACTTTGACACTGCGTGCAAGCCCACTCCGGAGAGAGGATTCTGCAAAGGGTTTCTTGATCGCTGGTTCTTCAACGTGACCAGTGGTGCCTGCGAGACCTTTCTTTACAGCGGTTGTGGTGGGAATCTCAACGAATACAAAAGCCAGTGGGAATGTGAATTCGCGTGCATGGGTAAGAGTGACTTCTCCGATTCGCACCAAATCACTCAGATAGATAGCTAGTGCATTACGGTGTCCTCTAATATCTTGAGTTGAATACATTAGTATGTGCGAGTTATGTTCAATGAACTCATAATAATTACTCATTTAACCGAGCAAAAAAGAAAACCCCGCGTGTTTTTCAAAGGTTTCAAGACAAACTTTACACTTTTTAGATGAGCTTTGAGATTCAATGAGCATTTAACCTCCTCTCTGTACCAATAACTTCTCGCACTCTGCGTTAAGGTAGCTCATGAAGGTACGCTAGCCTATATAGCATTTTAAATGAGCACTTAGATTTACCACGATTTCTTAAAAAAAAGAGCGGCTTTGGAAATCAAAAATCTGTGGGGGCTTTATGTCGACATCTTAAAAATGCCCTGTTTGAATGTTTTTAAACTGCTAATAAAAGCAACGTGACTAAAAAAAGGGAGCATTTTCGCCCTCTGCCGCCCGCCGAACGCAGGGCGAAAAGAAGAAATAAAAACTGGAGAAATTGAGGTCATCAACGGTGTCATATGAGTATGAATCCTACGCAATTTCAATGCAAAAACTAAATTCAGGCGACGAAAAAAGAAAAGAAGGAAAACACAAGGCGGCTGCTAATTTCGTTGTAGATTAAGTGTTTGAGCTTCCCTTTGCCAGTACAACACGTGCACGGCATCTGCAGCCCTGTACTACACTATACCAAACATAAATGTATGTGCTATACGATCAAAAAATTTAAAAACTGACGCTATCGTTTTTTACGTTCATATTGATATAAAGACAATTGTTTTACCTATATACTTTAAATATCACGTTTATTTTAAGATATATTAATTTTTCAAGTGTTTTGTACATGCTTGTTTATGCGGTGTGAATTTTACACGCTCTGTTGATAAATTTATGCCAAATAGTAACCTTTTGAAGTGATTAACGATACTTCGTTAATCCAAAAAAAGTGAAACCCTTTATTACTAAGAAAATATAAGGGTTAACTATTAATAGTGATTTTTTTCACGGTTATATAAAAAAAAACTTTTTTTTCTAGGTTGAGCAGTTCAGAAGACATCACTATCGAAGAAAGTGACGGACAAGTTTCATCAAAGAAAACGGTTTTTACATTATTACTCCTGTGTTACTAACTCTTCAGATTCATACATGCCGCTAATGTTTTATTAAGTATTGCAGCATTAATAAGATTGTCCTCCCTTCCCTAGTAAAAAAAATTATATGAATTTTTTTCTGATATGTTTATTGGACACCTTTTTCATATCAGAACTTATTATTTCATATCAGTTTCCTATGCCGCATATCAGTTACACTAGGCTAGGTGGCGCTAGGTACCGCCCAATTCATGTGCTGCAAAAATATATTTATTTACTCACGCCACCATGTAGATACATTACGCATACCACTAGCATCAGTTGAACAAATACATTGAGGGCATATACACATACACGGCACAACAAACATGAATACAACAGCACACCCAATAACTACTTCGGAGCTCTGCGTTTCCGCCTTTTATACAGGTCGTTTTGTAAGTACGAAGTTTTTCGGTGACCTCCTACGCAATAAATAATATTTTCAGCGTGTTGGATTTTTTTCAGTAATGTCGTACCTCTGAGAGTATTTAGAACGGCTCAGGGGATGAATCTCCTAATAAAAAGTAAACGCTCATGCCGTAATTATTTGAAAGCCAGTAAATCAAGCCGCTCCACTGCGGTTCCAAGTCACGTGTTTGCTTTCCCGCGCGGCACGTCGTATACTGAAGAAACTTATATGAATTTATTTCTTATATGTTTATTGGACACATTCATATCAGTTGGCAAATGTTGCATATCAGCTCTTATATGTCGCATATCAGTTTTTGGGTATTTCATATCAGTTCTTATATCGCATATCAGTTTTTGGATATTTCATATCAGTTGGCATATGTTGCATATCAGTTCTTATATGTCGCATATTAGTTTTTGGGTATTTCATATCAGTTCTTATATCGCATATCAGTTTTTGGATATTTCATATCAGTTTCATATGTCGCATATCAGTTTTGAGATATTTCATATCAGTTCTTATATAGATTCATATACTTTTTTTCAGTAGGGTTGTGTGGTTTAAACGTAATAATATTGCTCATGGAAAGTTTACACACGCGCAAGATTACAGCCGTCACTGCTGACCTTCTCTTGTGTTACCAAAATACCAAGCCGCTGAAGAGGGCGTTCAAAAGCCTTTACGAATGTCAATGCCGGGGAGAAGGAAAGAATAGAATCTAATATGGCAAGAGCCAGTTTCGCTGTGGTTATGTTGAAGTGCAGGAAAAGGAAGAATGAAGAACAAAACAAAAAACTTTCAGGTCCGTTATGGCGGTGCTCGTGCACAGCTGCTGTTATGCGTCCATATGAAACTATGTTCCATGCATTTTTCAAATAAGCAAATGTTTATATAAATTTTGTTGAATATTCAGCTCTTCCAAAATTGCCTCAGAAAAAGCAATACCGCTTTACCGAATGTACTGTGTGTCCTTTTTTTTTTTTTGACATAGGATTTTTGATTAGATAAAACAATCTATGGGATGTTTGAAAATCTTACCCAGCATCATATCGCTGCTCGGATACGGAAACTCAACAACCAATTTGTTGACTGCTACCGTTCCCATGTCCTATGTCTCACCTTGATGAGGGATAAAAAATGCGACCATAATGTTTCGGACCTCAAGGTTCGTAAGAAATAATTTTTAACCTTCTCTTCAATCACATAAAACGTTGTTCTTCAAAATCCCATGAATGTATAAATCTACAGCCGTTCAGCTTTATGTCCAGGCGACCGTTTCCGGTGGAACCCACGTGGAGGGGCGTATCCCATGGGAAGTCAGTGTTTCTCATGATCCAATGATGCTTTCTTATTTCAACCCCCTGGGCGAAGTGTTTTTTAGAATACCACAAAAATCAATATTGAAGGTTTCCCGCTTTGATTTATTGGAGGCATTCGCGTATGTAGCGCCTTTTTAAATAAAAATAAAAATAAACAAACATTCACGAATGGAACGTCAAAGGAAAAAGATTGTTTTCCCGCTTGCGGTGTACGTTTTCAAGCGACACACGTCTGATTGGTGCCACTAGCAACAGATGGCGGCAGCGTTTCATAAATACACTTAGAGAGCCTAGATTTAGGAGTGGGAGCAACTGCAATGAGGTGGAGCGTTTGTACTTCAATGGCAGACGCCTCTTGCGTGAATTGCTTACAAGGCGCAAGGCACGTAGCCAGGATTTTGGTTGGGGGGGGGGGGGGGGGTTCCAGGAAAATGAAAGATTTCGGGGGCGGGGGCCGGACCCCATTGGCCTCCCCCATGGCTACGTGCCTGATTGGCGCATGTGCTGATTTGCCGTAGGGCAAGAAGCAAAGCGTGTGGAGAGACGGAGACGCTTTCAGGCGATCAACGAATTAGAGCGCAGCTCTCTCGAGGAGGAGGGATGGTATGGAGGAGGATGATATGCCCCTCCTCTTCCTCCGTACGTTCCCCTCCTTCTCGCATGCTGCCCTCCCATTTAGCGGGGAGATTGCCCCGTTAAATTTAGCGTACAAGTTTCCCTGCTAAATTTAGTGCAAAAATTTCCACGGTAAGGTTAGCAGAACAATTTCCACAGTAAATTTTGTGTCAAAATTTCCCCGCTGAATGCAACAGTACTCTTTCCCCGCCACATTTAGCGGAACAATTTCTTCACTAAATTTAGCGGAAAAATTCCCTAGTTAAATTTAGCGCGAATATTTCTCTGCTAATTTTAGTGGAAACATTTCCCCTTTAAATTTAGCAAGAAATTTCCGCGTGAGATTTAGCAGGAAATTTCCCCACTTAGCAGAAAAATTTTCACGATAACCTTAGCGGAGAAATATCTCCGCAAACTGTAGCGGAAAAACGTCCCCTACTGCAACGCGCGGTTATGCCGACGCCGACGGCGACGGCGCTAATGCTGGTAACGGCCGCTTGAGAGCTGCGCTCTTCAACACTTCAAGTGCCTATAGTTTAGACCAACTAAACTCTCTGACGTGACGCCGTTACGGTAACGCTGCTGTCGCCAGTGTGCAGAAACGTGCGCAGAAACCAGGTCCGGCGGACCTGCTTTCTGCGGTCGTCCGGTGGAGGCGAACGCAGGCTTGGTTGTAAAGAGTGTGTCAGTCGACGTTTGTTTGCAATAGAGGCAAGGTAAAAAATTAAAGAAGTTTACAATTCTCTGTATCTAGAGCACCATCTAGAGGTTGTGCTTTAAAACCCGTGTATATTATGGAGTTTCTGTAACAGCCATCTACAAAACAGTGGCGCTTCGAATGACGGGCGAACCTTTGGGAGAGGAGTGGGTACTGAGTGTGTAAGCAGGCTGTAGTGACAGTTTCGCAACTGAGTTGATCTATAACAAGATTTTGTACTGGCAAGCGTCACGTCTAAAATGCTACTACGCCGACAAAAATGTACAAGTCATAGCAGCACTTGTGAAAATAACTTCGGGCGTCTGCTCCAAGGGTCCGATATTGGTGACGTGAGAGCGACAATATTCTAGCCTGCTGATTTGAAGTGACGTCACAGTTTGCGCGTAATAACCAATCGTACATTTTTGACCCGTCCGCAAATTTAACCTCGAACTATATTTCGGTGGGAACGTGTCACCAACATACGAAAAGTGAGAGAGGTTTCGCGGCCTCTGCTGTCCTAGTACACCTTCCTCCGCTTGTGCACGGCAGCAGAAGACGAGATGCGAAAACGATGCACGAATCGTCAATGGTTTCCAATGAGAAATAGCAGAGGCTCACAATAGACCTGGTGAAAACCGTATAGCGCCGTTCGGGGCACCTAAAAGAATGCCGGAAAGTCTGGGTACAGAACTTGTAGCAGATGATGGAGGCGACAGAAAAAAAGAAAAAAAAAAAGCGGGCGAGCGGGCGATGACACGGGAACAACTGCGCGGCCCTCTATCTATCTTGCTCGCTTCAGTGTCGCGGGGTAAATGTGGCGGGGGCAAGAAAGAGCGCACAGGATTTTAAGCGCGGTCTTTCGGGGATTTTACCGAGAAGTTTAGTATTTCATCCCGCGTCCGCTCACACTATGCCGAGGCGCGTGGTTCATCCACTTTTAGAGAAAAGATGGTCTCAAAGGACAAACGTCAGCATTTGTTCCTTTGAACTCCCATTTGCAACCCAAAGAGACCGTCTGGTTCGAGCTAGGTACCGTGCACAAAAACTGAGGACTAACTACACTCGACCGGGACTATACGGGAGGTGTGCTTGAACAAAAGCAGAAATTAGTCCTCCCAAGACATAGAAAATCTGCATGTTGTTGCCCCCGAAGGCAAACGGAATGCTTGCCGGGAGGAGAGCTAATATTTCGCTGGTCGCAGGGATTGGTGCGACACAGAAGCCAGCACGGCTGAAGGTGTTGACCGAATTCGGACGAAACTGGCGAATTTCTCTGACGTGCAATGATCGTTCAGACATTACATGGGACACTGACCTTCCCGCAGTGTGTGAATGCGAGTTAACGAGCGTATTAACTCGCATTCACCCAACTATCTCGTGAACGATGATGGGTTGACATTGACAAGTCCCATTCACATAATCTGCTCTTGCGCAAACGTAATAATTTATTCAAACGGAATATATCTTAAAGCTAACGCGTATCTTTTTTTTTTTCCTTATTGGCGTGTAGGTCCATGACGTCTCATAATGCAACGCTACGCATTCAGTTTCCCCGCTAAATTTAGCGGCAAAACTGATGTCACATAACCTCAGCCCCGATTCAGTTTCCCGGCTGAATATAGAGAAAGAGAATGTGTACATATTTCACGGGACACGAACTAATATGACATCATTTTCCCAGCTAAATTTAGCGGGGAAACTGTGGGAGGAGGGGAAGGTAAGGAGGAGGAGGACGAGCAGTGAGAGGAGGAGGGCAGGGTCCTCCATATCCTCCCCTCCTCTTTATACAACTAATATTATAATAAATATTTAATTAATATATATATCGGTACATATGTATATATATATATATAGAGAGAGAGAGAGAAAACGTAGCGCAGGATGACGAAAAATATAAACGGCATAAAGACGCACTTGAGACGGTCGTTGGAGTTTTCAAATCATTATTATAATGATTATTATATCTGTCTCTGGCCGAAACGTCGACGAACTTTACGATTAGTACGCTTTAAAAAATCCA